GAGGACATGTTCCCCGATGAAGAAGACGTCCCCGACTTTAATGATGAGTTTTGAATGGTGACATTACAGAGGCTAAAATACTGATATCATTTAAGTGAGGAAAGCGAGGATGTCTTCTGAATTAGATCGTATTACAAACGAATATTTAATTTCTTCAGCTTCAAAATTATAACCATTCTATACTGAATATTGTAACTTTATTTTTACCACTGGCATACTACCTGATATTTGTCTAACTGGAATAATTAGACATATTCACAAAATAATGGGCTATTACATTGAGCCTAGATCATAGCAGATAAATTTCGATTCTTAGTAGCCTTGGGAAACTTTTTACAAGCATAATAAACAATGGACTTACTGTAATGGAAGAATATGATATGATTTCTCATGAACAGGATGTATTTCGAAAAGGATTCCCTACAATAGATAATCTGTTTATTCTGCAAATTTTGTTCCAGTTTCAAAAGTTAAAGTTAAAGAAACTGTTTTGTGCGTTTATTGATTTTTCTAAGTCGCTCGACAACATATGGAGAGTGAGGCTTTGGACCGAAATGTTTAGACACGGTGTTAAAGGCAAACTATATAATCTAATCACAAATACGTACAGTAACATTAAATCATGTGTAATGAAAAATGGTAATATATCCGACTTTTTCCCTTGCTTAACTGGCGTTAGACAAGGAGAAAATCTGCCACCATTCTTATTCGCTGTATACCTAAAAGATTTAAAACAATATCTTACTGATAATAATTGTGATAGAATTCATTTAGAATACTGTAACGGTAATGAATCATTACTTTGTATCAAATTCCTTATACTTCTATATGCTGATGATACAGTTACTGTACTTTTTAGAGAAAGCAGACAGCTACGGACACACTCAATACATTTCATAAAGACTGTAACGACTGGGAAGAAGAATGATGTGAATATAGGATCAGGCCAAGCTAATAGATGAAAAGACAAATAAAATTTCGGTTAATATTCGATAGTCGTAATTGACAGCTGTAATTATTTAGGTCTCCTTTTACAATTAGAAAAAAATGAATACATCTGTTTATATATATTCCTGAAATCGGCATGAAAGCTAAAAAACGTGCCAGAAATTTACAATTAACACGAGCTAGCCTTAACGAAACGTTTGATAAATTGTTATCCCCATTTTACTTATGGTTCTGAAATATGGGATTATCATAGAAATAACAGAAAAGTTACATCTAGAATTCTTAAAACCAGCGTTAAAAATGTTAAAAGAATGTTAAATTATTTTTGTGCAAGCTGAGTCAGCCTTCACAACATAAAAATATCATCGCGTCTTTTATGTTAACATTTATGCTAAATCAAAATAAAATAAAAGATACCCCCTTTCTATGGCTTAATCGTATCAAAAGTACCTTTGGTAATTGTGGTCTTACGTATTTGTTTTTTTTTCTCTGATGTTATAACAAAGAGTACCTTTTATTTCAACTTGAGAATACCTTACACTTTCAGTTTATCCAGACATGGAGAAGTGGTGTCGTCAACTCTTCTAAAGGGAATTATTACAAGTATCTCAAAGACTACCCGTCTACTACTAACTACTAACTACTGCCTCTAAATATTTCTCAATCTTTACATGTTTCCATCTGTACATGTTACCATAAATTGCCAATAGAGACGGGTGGCTGGCCAGGTATACCTCGTGCAGATCTCTTATAAATACATACGATGTGATTTAAATGCACATGTGGTCGAATTCCACTACCTGTACCGTTGTCAATGACTTTCCAACAAACGAGCCATTTTGATTTATAACTATTATTACGAATGACCAAACATATTTAAGTTTGCCAAACTATTAAACGCCAAACACATATCTGTTATCAAAATATTATCGAAGTTCATCGTCATCATTTTAGTGGAAGTTAGATCCATTGTGTTGATTGTATTTGGCAATTGCTAGGTTATACTTGTCCACAAAGCGAAATAATACATTGGCCTGATTAATTTAAAACATATGTGAAATGATGACCTACACGGTTACTTTATGAAACACTGTAACGCTTTTTGTATCATCTGTGGAGTACAATGTTTATCCGAATGATATTCTCCACAGTATTACAGTTTATCCATACGAATTAACTCAATCATTGTGTTCATGTACGTGTCATCTTGCAGTGGCATGTTATATATAAAAGTTACTGAATTGCATTGCTCATGTACCACCGCTGGTGGTCACTGGAGTGAAATTAAAGTTGTTGGTAGAGTCATGTTTATCAGTCGTGGCATGTTTTCGCTGTTCACTTGCTGTAACATTGTGAGGGCATGCAAATGAAAACCCAACTTATTTATAGCCCAACAAGTAATGTTGCATGTCATGTTGGTCTGTTTCGGCTCTCGCGTGGTTGTGTTTTTTTGCGATTTTTGCATCTTTTCACAAAATTTCTGCATCACCTCATTCTTCCACACAAATCATCCCAATCCATGCAGAAATGACCAATTCAGTTTTGGTATTAATTTTTGTATGGGTTTACGATTTTACTACTTTCGTGTTTCTTTTCGAACAGTGCATGTGCTTTCAAATGCTTGTTTATAGTTGCTCGAAGAGTGTTTCTTATACATGTATATAGTTCACATTGTCTCGGACTGTTCTGCAGAACGTAGACGTGGCTGCTCATGGTGTAAATTGTACTACTGCCACCAACCCGTAGGTCACATAATCACAGGTGACTTCCATATCGTTGACAATAACAACCTTTGTCAGTTATTAAAATATTGACCAAAATATCGTCAATCAATTGGCATCACAACTTTTAAGTCATTATGATGTCCAAGCATATGCCAAAACATGGCCCAAAATAGAATAGGAACCTATTAAATGTCATTCAGGGCCAGTGTTGTCATTGGTAGAATCCACAAACGGAAAAAAGAAAACAGAATTGGAATAAATTCATTCGGTCCCAGCCAGCCGTCACCCAAAGTCTGACCGACCTTAATGAAAAGTTTGTAGTTGTTCCAACTGACAATGCCTGAAATACCAAAACCTTAATTATGTAAGCTTCGCTACATCAATTGTTTCATCCGAACATGGCGGTTGATAATACTGCTCTATATGAGGTCAGTATGTTAACCTAGGCAGAACACTACCAACCCCAGCATCAGTACTAACACAAAAATCTGAAGACTTGTCCATTCCCCTTTTGTAGTGGGTTCCAAAGTTCCATACATGTACAAGTTCTGTACAAAGACAGAGGTGATGATGGATCCAGCAGCATTGTATCTCAGTGGACTGGCAGAATAAAACTAGCATAAATCCGGGCTGTACAAGCAGTCACACAGACAGACACACAGACGTAGTATGTAACTGAAAGTGACTTTAAACCAAGTTTCATTCATCTCACCTGTTCAGACAAGTGTTGGAATCAACATACATTGAAACATGGAGCTTGTTAAATATCGACTCTCTTTTAGCAGTGATTTCTTATTAATAAAAAAAATGGGGTTTATCACTTTGTCATCAAATGGTCGATTCTGAATGAAAATATTTACACGCGATGTCGATGTCTACATAGGACATTGCAAGATTTGACTGTAATCATTCACAATCCATTAATCATTGAACACGATGTGCTGTCGTATTTTATCAATGTTCTTCCGTAGATCTGATTCTTACAAATGGAGAGTCATATTTATTGAAACAGAAACAGAATATCCCGTAATGCGCTGACGCTGATGATAATCCGTGATAGGTTTACATGTTGTTTTAATCACAAATCCGGGATTATAACACTGAATGGTGTTGTTCTGGGCGTGTCGACATCAATTGTAATGGTTCTAACTGTGGTATAAAACACTATTAATGAGACAGTTGGTAACCAGCTTCACATCAGGAATTGTTCTTGACATGTTTTGTAAACAACTATTGGGAGACAAATAGCATGAAATAGTTACCACGTTTTGTGCCTGGAGGATATTCAAGTCTCTCAAAGTAATAAAATAATACATATAGGGTCAACGTTTGAAAATCGATATTGGTGGAACTGACATTTGAATAAAATTATTAATTTTCCAATTATGCCAAATAAAGCGAAAAAAGAAGACATTTCTTCTCTTCGCCAAAACAGAGTCGATTGTATCATGATTGATTCCGAGTATATCATGGACTCTGTCATGACTCCATCAAGAAACGCGAAAACATTATGACAATTAATTGCGGCACCATGATGTAAAAACACAAGGAAACTGCTTGGTAAATGTTGGAAACAAGGGATGAACGTCTTGTCGGAGCTAACGATGTACGGACAAGCCTGTTGCAAGGGCACTGTTTTGTGAATGCGAATATTACAAGTTCAGGCCAAATGTAAAGTTTACCTTTACTGTGTGAATAGCAATGAATTGGAAAAAATGGTGTACTGAAAATTTGTCCTCACGGTATATTATGAGAGAGGTTTCTTTGCGGTAACAAAACCGAATGAAATACAGGAGTAACCTTGAAGTGAAAATACTGATCGGTGTTTCAGCTAAACCAACATATCTCGCATCTGGGAGGGTAGCATGACATATATTTTGTGGAGAAGTTCATATGAGATTGCAGGAGACTTTTTACACATTTTATTAGTTGTTGAGTATATTAATAAGAAACTCTCGCATTTCAGTTACTATCACATTAATATTTCACATTTCAGTTATTACGTTTACATTACTTTGATATGTAATCTTAACAAAGCATGCCAAACATCCCTGATGAGAAGCAGATTACCAAGTGCCTCGTTATTGGTGTTTATACCCACACCAAGAACCATGGGGGTGATGACGCTGCTCCTGGATCATCAGCCTGCGTCGACATAATCCAAGATGTTTAGCTCCCCCATGTAGATAGGTCGGATTATGCCCACCGGGGGAGAGGGAATTAAACGGTAATCTGTGTTGACATAATCTAGGAATATTAGTATATATACAAGGCTCCATCTTTGGTGTATCATACATTCTCACTGTGTCCTGGACAGAAGCAGAAACGATGAAAGTTGTGTTGTTTGTGTGTATGTTGACCGTGGTCACTGCTGGAGAGGCGGACAGGGAGGTAGGTTGTTTTTTGTTTCTTCTTCTTCTTCATTTTCTAGTATTTATCTGGCGATTGATGAAAGTCTGTAGACAATTAGAATATATAAGAAATATCATGTAAATTCTGACAATGGACTTATGGTTCTAAAACTGCTTTCTTTCATCATGTTCAAAGCAACAGGAGGCCTACGCTTTTTGAAATTATCACATCTGCTTTACCCTTGGCTGATTATATAACCTGTGTTTACTCATTTCCTTATAGGTAAACAACATCAATTCCGTCATTGAGCACCGTGAGTATAGTGTTTTGAAAATAATGAAACAAATCTTGACAAGCAATAGTGAAGGATGTAATAATACTATTTTATTTCCCTCTGCTTGGGTGTAACTCACGCAACTGGCATCATGCTACATGCTGAAATAAAGAGATATCAGTTACTATTATATTTAGTCCTTCAATGCACTGACGTACATTTTGTGATATCAATTTTACTAAATTAAATTTGAATGTTTTAATGTACGGATATTATGTTTTGTGATACTAGCTGTTTGACTAAACTACTATTCCTTCAGTCAAGGCAATACGATCAGATCTGGTTGGAATGGACCATCAGACCAACAAGAAATTCCCTGATGATGTCACTGATTTGTCAAAAATGAACAGTAAGTTCACCCCAGGTACAATGTTACAAGTCGAGATACACTTTTGATGTAACGATGGTTGGAGATAATAATGTTGTCTTGAATTCTAAGATTGAAAGGGATATACAGACATAAGATGAGTTAATATGGTTTTGGACATACCCTGAACGATGCACATGAAATCTTTCTAACTTGGTTTGATACTGCCAGATAGTTTCACATACCCGGTTTAACACCAATAAGCAGAACAAAATATGGGGTGGCAGTATGAATGGTTTTTCGATTGCATTCATAATCCATGACAGCCCTATTTCTCTATACTGATGTTCAAACTTACTTACCTATTAGATTATGTTGCTGGTGCGACACAAACTTCACCAACGACTTCGGGTGACCACCAAAGAACAGTTGATGGACAAACGATGGAGAGAGAAAAAAGAATAATGGACATCATGTTCAAACTCCTGCATGGTAAGAAGTCTCATTGTTCTGCAATATCGACATCACTATCTATGATTTGGCTATTGGGTTAACTGACAATTCTGATCATACTTATACTTATTTGTTTCAGAGGATTTATTGCATATTGGACATACCGATGACTAATTCTGATTATTTAAAACAAATATTTTGCTGAAAAGCATCTTCAAACATCATTATACAACTTAGAACATCAACTAGTTCGAATGATCGGACCTTTGATAAGAATTCCGAAGTTAAATGACACTGAAATTGTCCCATGATAGTAAACAGTGTATTAATGCCTTTACTTTGACGTAGGTGATGACGAAGACAAGTATGTTGTTTGTACACTGGCTGACGCCGCCGAGACGTCTCAGATCTCCTTAGACGACATCAGCACATCCAAGTATCAAGACAAACACACCATCAGGTCAGTTTCGTACTAATTCTCATCTATGGACACCTTCGTTTGTGGTTGAGAGTTTAATATAGTTGATACCGAAACTAATTACTATCAGATTTGATAACATCATTCACTTTCTCAGACGGCGCTCTATCGACTGCAAACAAGACGCCCGCTACCGGACAATGGACGGAAGTTGCAACAATGCTCGCTGGCCAACCTGGGGATCCACCAACCAACCATTCAAGAGATTTATTGATCCTGCATATGATGATGGTAAAGAGCAGGTTTTCTTCTGATATCATATTGATATAAGAACTTAAAAATCATTATTTCATGCTAATAACCATGGTAATTAATTAATAAACCAGACCGTTTGATAGCAAGTCTTGTAATTATTCCATTGACATTTAGTTATGCCCTTTCAATATCACAACTAACTATGCGCAAGGGAACTTTTAAAGCAAAGGTTTGGCTTTCCAGGCAAGTTCGTTCCCCGAATGAGAGGCGTTGATGGTTATCCCCTTCCCAGTCCACGTGCCATCAGTGTGGCCGTACATCCGGGAGTTGACAGTCCTTCTAACGACCACACAGTGATGGTGATGCAGTGGGGGCAGTTTGTGGACCATGATCTCACCGGAACCCCTCTCCATGCAGGTAGGTGCCAAGTGGCCAAAACTCTCTGACTATCAAAGTGACCAGAAGTGTGATGTTGAAATCAGACAAACTGTGATATATTTGTTTTTGTAATCCATATTTTTCGAACCTATTTTCATCATTAAGCTATCCATCTGTGAACTTTACAAATCCTCATATTCCTGCAAGGTGATGTTCACTCCAAATGTTGCGATGGTCACACAACAGGAGAGATGCATTCTGATGTACAAACTGGGTAAGCAATCAACATTCTATATTTTCCACACTTAATCATTCTGTTTCGGTTAATCGAAATTACTGGTCGTCATATTTAGAATAAAGAACAGACTTTGAAATTACGTGGCATTGTAGACATTATTACAATTAGGATGAAAGAGACAAAAGCCTTTCCATCACCATAAACCTCTACTGTAAAATCCCGAGTACATCACATACATGTGCTTGTGCATCATAACATATCACAAGCATTATCATAACAATGTTTGATTGGAACAAGGAAACATGTTAATTCTTTTGCTATTTCGCTGTTCCAGCGGCCCTTGTTTCCCGATCACCATGCCAGTAAATGAAGGACATTCCCAAAAGAACTGCATGGAGTTCAAAAGATCAGCCCCAGCACCTGGAAGGAGTGAGTATATGAATACTAAGCTGTGAAGGTTACCTCATCTCAATATTGGGCTGTTCAGTCATTATTTTTCTGTTCTTTTTAACACAACGTATTAAGTAACGAAGCCATAAACAACACTGTATGATAATACCCATGTTTAATTGAAAACCATGTCACTTCCAGATACCCGGGAACAGTTGAACCTACTGACGTCCTTCGTGGACGCCTCTAACGTGTACGGCCTCAGTCAGGATCAGATCAATCACCTCAGGAACGGACGTAAGTCAGGCAATATTTAGCAATGAATTATAATTTGTGATAAAAGAAATATGTTACATTTTGACAGCATACCCCCGAGAGTAATTTTTACATACAAATAAATGTCGTCATTCAACTTTTCAGCCTACTTAAAAATCAAGGGAGATAACCTGTTGCCAGAATCCAACCAAGGCAACTGTCGAACAAGCAATACCAACGAATGGTGTTTTGAAGCCGGTAAATACAACTTATTAATATATTCAAAGTAATATTTTCAGAGTCTGTTCATAAAGTACTTCACACATGACTATTTGGTACAATTTGAAATGATATGGATAATTCATTTCACAACATTGTCACAACTTCTTTATAACTAACTTTATCATCAGGTGACGACCGTGTGAACGTGTTCCCTGGTCTGGCCGTGCTACACACCGTGTTTGTCCGAGAACACAACCGTCTTGTCAAAGAACTTGCTGATGTCATGCCATCGACCACTCCTGATGATGTCTTGTTTGAGGAGGCCAGAAAGATCGTGTCAGCCATCATCCAACAAGTCACCTACCGCGAATGGTTGCCCATTATTGTTGGGCCCTTGGCCATGAGGAAGTACAGACTGACCCCTGGCTTCAGCTTCAGGTACAACATCACCCAAAACCCCACCATCTACAACGTCTTTGCCACCGCCGCCTTCAGATACGGCCACTCCACCATTCCACGTTTCCTTACCCTCGGAGATCGACATGTACCAATAGAACAGCTCTTCAACAGACCTTCTGAAGTCATCAAAGATTTGGACACCGTGCTGAAGGCTATCCTCAAGGACAGACATCAGGAGGTTAACCGCTTCATCAACAGTGGGATGACTGAGCATTTGTTTGAGACGTCGGGCAATAACGGCTTTGACATCGTGTCCTTAAACATTCAGAGAGGTCGTGACCATGGCCTGCCATCATACAACAGCTTCCGCAAGGCATGCCAGCTATCGGAAGTGACTTCATTTGATGACAGTGTATTTGGTAAAGCAGGACCTGCTTTAAAAAGTGTATACAGGTTTGTGTAATTTAATTTACTCTTATATGTGAACAGAATTAGTGTAACAAAATTAAAAAATAAAGATAGTTTAACTCTTCTCTGACATTTCTCAAGATCTCCTTACATATGTGTATTCTTGCTTCAGTTCCCCTGATGACATCGACATATTTACCGGTGCAGTAGCTGAACAACACTTGCATGGCGGTGCAGTGGGCCCACTCCTCGCTTGTCTGATTGGTCAACAGTTTCATGATCTGAAATATGGCGACTCATTCTGGTTCGAAACATCTCATCCAAGAAAGGGCTTTACATCAGGTACTGTCAAATCTGTTTGTATTTCTGCGTGCTTGTATGGTTTGTTAACATATTTGTTTTATGTCAAAATATGTACTTATTAGATAACCTAACATACCTTTAAGATGAAAACGCTATACAATTTTGTTTGTGTGACGTTTCATTCTATTCATCAAAATGTTTTGCTGTTTCACTGACAATAGTGTGGAAAGATACTCTCTTGTTCTCCGAAGTGATTGTACATATAAATAATAATGGCATTTTCTATTTCAGGACAACTGCCTGAGATCCGACGAATGCGCTTTGCTAAAATTCTTTGTAGGAATTCAGGAGTGAAGTCCATCCAAAGAGATCCTTTTACAGTGTACTCAAAAGAAAGGTAGGCAATGAAGACATCTAGCTTCATCATTTGTCAGTAATTAATTATTTCACACAGACAGAACTCATATTAACATGCGACAGGGTATATCTGGCGTACTTCATTTAGTGAACATTGATCAGAATTGTATCCTGGATCCATTTACACCTCGTGACACACTTTGAATGTAACATATTCAGGCTCATTCAGTTATATAGGATACGAATGTCAAACCTGATCACATGAAGTATGCTGACGGAAATGTTGCTATCTTAATAGGATTACATAATTTTTGTATTTTACAGCAATCCCATGATACCCTGCAACGATCTTCCAACAATCGATTTAACCAAATGGCGGAGATGAGAAGTTGCTTGGCCTGCCCTTAGGTTCAACAATGAACCTGATTACTTGAAACATAAGATTTTTTGCGTGTGAGGTGTTCCAACACTTATATCTCACACTACTGGTCGTGGTTTGTAAGATGCATAAATCACAGAGTACATTACATTTTTGACATTTTTGTTCAGTTGTCTTCATAGTAAATATGTAATGCCAAGAACATTTGGGTATGGCATTTCACTAATAATGCTGGAATTATTAACTGAAATGTCAGTTAAGATTATACCTGATTATAATGCCTACACTTAATGAGAACAAAACAAATTGGTAACTAATTAAGTGTGTGAATCCATCAGTCACACCATCAAAGCGTTTAATCACAGTATACAAGTTGCATTAATATTGGCAGTGTATGTTTATGGCATTGTATAATATATTTGTCAAGGGCATAAACATATTCTACATGTTTGACTTGCACTATTTCATAGACCTATGAAGGAGGTGTATTTTATTCTTTGTCATTGTATGATATTGTATAATATATTGTTGATGTCGTGCTTAAAAATTTAGACCCGTGAAGATTCCGGGGTAGAATAGGTCTTCAGCAACCCATGCTTGCCGTAAATGGTCACTATGCTTGTCGTAAAAGGCGACTAACGGGATCGGGTGGTCAGGCTCGCTGACTTGGTTGATGCATCTCATCGATGTCAATTGCGTGGATCGATGCTCATGACATCAATCACTGGATTGTCTGGTCCAGACTCGATTATTTACAGACCGCCGTCATATAGCTGGAATATTGCTGATTGCGGCGTTAAACAACAAACCAACCAACCAACCAACTTAAAAATTTGAAAATTTATATATAAAGTTCAATAGAAACAATATTGAACAATAGTTGTATTCTATTATATATCACATTCAATTGTATTTGTTAATTTTACAACCGTTTTGTAATAAACACGTTCTCTTTTGTATTTCTGATTCATGATCTGTTAATTTCTTGGTTTCGCGCATTCATCTACCGTTTGGTTGGCTGATTAGCACATTGATACGTTTCACATTTGTGTTAATGTTTGGTATCATGGCATAGTGTCCAGGTTCTAGATACATATTGTTTCTAACCGAGCAGTGCCTTCTGTATGTGTATAGATCACATTGTCCCATACAGTACTTCCGATACATGTATATAGCTCACATTGTCCCATACAGTACTTCCGATACATGTACATAGCTCACATTGTCCCAGACAGTGCTTCCTATACACGTATTACGTACACTTCCCATTTCGCCGTCAGTGCTAACAACACACGCAAATAGTTCACATTATTCCAGACAGTGCTTCCTATAAATGTACATGTATATACTTCCCACTATCGCTTTCAGTGCTTCCTACAAACGCAGATAGTTCACATTGTCGCAGACAGTGTTTGCTATACGTGTATATACAATGTAGTTTACATTGTCACAGATAGTGTTTCCTTTATATGTTTATTCTTCATATTGTCACAGATCATGTTTCCAATACGCGAATATATATATATATATGAAACAAACATAAAATATAAAAGATACATTAAATACATTGAAAGCACTGAACGTGCTATAGAGGGATTCAGATGCACATGTAGGTTACTCAACGAAGCAATGATTGTATTAATAGTTGACATATGCGGGTGGTTAGATCGGGCATGGTTCTTACATATTTGGACAACCATGTTTGCCATATAAACAAAAACAGATTATCCCGTAATCCGACTTCATGTTTACAATGAGAGCCATACAACAACCAGCTATATCGCGGAATAAAATAGTTCCTCAAAAAGAGAAGTGGCATGAGCGTATGGATGTACAACTTGCTCTTCAGAAACATCTTACGCAGCACATGTCTTCAATACATATCCTCATTAGATGAGAAAGTTCTGTAAAGAACTACCTCATTAAGTCAGTCACAATGACAGCGCGTCGTAATACATTTACAACAAGTACAAGAGGCCAAAATGGCCGACACGATAAACGTGACGGGAGAGATTTCCGAAGTTGTTAATGAACCTGTGGCGGTTACATGTGTTAGTCATCATTGATCAACTGGCCGATCATTGAAAGGTGAATAAAGATGCGTCAAACAGACACAAAGGTAAATTCATAGATTGCTGGAGACGGTCATTGTCAGCCGAAGACACGGATCGAGTCGATACTATGATAGTTTAGATGTGCATTTCTTCGTTTATTCATTAGGATAGGCCGTGGCGAGGATATTCGTAAACAATCATGTAGTGACACTCTCTGACATTTCTCAATGTATACTGAAACGCTGAGACCAAGAATAAAGGTTCTAAATGATCATATAGAACACTTATGTATGTTTTCGTGCTGGGGAATTCCCAGGGGTTTCCCCAGGAATGTGGAAGTAGTCCGTCAGTGTTGACGTCATTTCAAGAACACGGTCTCGTGAAAAACGTATGAACGTCAAATTGTGTCGTTCATACATTTATGAACGTCAATTTCGAGGTCATGTGACCGTCCTCTCGTCCAATGGAAAAGCCGTATATCGTGTAAACTTCAAATTAAAAAAAATATTACTGAATAAACGCTGTCATCAAGTGATCGATATATGGTCGTCTTTGAGTGAAAATAACTACAATTGATATCATTATTCCACACATATAATCATTCATTATCCCGTTGTCAATGAACACGATGAGCAGTTGTCGTGAGTTGGTGCTCTTCCATTGATCTGATTCGTTCATACGATAAGAATAAAGTTTATTGTTGCGTCACACGACATACCTTAATCAAGTGCAAATTGTAATACATGCATCTATTAAATATGTCAACATAGATCGTGTATTGTCCAGCCAAAACGACCTAAGAGACACATAAATGCAAATAATTTCATACTTTGAAGTTTACACTGTTTCTTTCATGCTGATTGGCTGAATGGGTAGTCACGTGATCAGTTTGGAGTTCACACACCTGTGAACACACGAGGTGAACAATTTTTTGCGAAATTGATCGTGTGAACTTTTGCCGGAACTACTTTCCGGGGTTTCCCCGAATTTTCGATCGGTGTTTACGATCAACTCGTTTTTTCTATTTTCTCTACATTTATCAGCAATGTAATTAATTTAGTATTTTTGCTTGGTCTTGTAACATTTCATCTGACTATCAATGAATAAATGCTTTGGTTCTGGTGTTTGATGTCTAGCTGCTACATGAAACCAAATGGATTGTCCTTATGGTGATTTGGATATGGAATGGCTATCTTTCAATACTAATAATGCAAGAAAAGAAAATTAATTCTGTAAAATTACTGAGGTGAACGAAATTGATTTATTGAGCGATATTGACTTTGATGCCTTGTTTTCGGAAATGACAGGAATCTAGCAACAATGAAAACAATGTAGTACCCTGCTCAGATGTAGCCGCTGACACAGAGCAAAGAATGCTTCTGATCAATCCCAAACTAAAACCTGATTCACTATCGCATCGGGGAAAAAAATCTAAGCTTTTGAGAAACCATAAAACACCAACATAAATTTAAAAAACCCCCAAACACTTGCCTGTTTTACCGATTGGTCAACGGAGACGAGAAAATATCCGCAGACGAAATTAGAAATATACTATTCCGGTTTCTGAGTTGGCCGACCTTCTCCGTGCATTCTAGGCCGAGAACCGGCGGCACACGAGGAGTGACGGGCCCAGAAATGAAGCTGGTCATACAGTAGGTCATTCCCAGGTGGCAAGAAACACCAGCTAGGCAAAATATTACAGCACACGCGACAAATCCCAAACTCCAAATATAACACACTCTGACGTTGAAAATGTACACAAAACACATAAGTTTCAGAGCACTCGGTTCAATCCCCACCAGTGCGATTATCCAAACACAAGCAACACATTCATAAATCGGTAATATTCACAATTTGCTAGTGCTATGAGAGGGTTCACGCGTCGGGGTGTTTTCCATAACTGCCCCATAAACGTCATTTTCAACAGCATTAAGTATAAATTTCATCCATATGCTCCCGTTCGACTCGAAATGCTCCTCTTTACAAACTTATGTGATGTCATATATATAAATCCGCGCTTGAAGGTTGATCTCGCCTCGGTGCATCGAGGCAATGTTTATATTTTTGTTAACCTTCCTGTAACCTATTGTTAAGATTTGATTTATCCCAAATATTGTTTGTAAATTTGGGGAAACGTATGTGACCGAGAGCCAGGAAATACCGGCAAAATAACATTGTTGCAATGTTCTTCGGCGAAACCAGAGGACTTCAAATTTAAGCAAACATTATTACGATATTATTCGGCGAGACCAGTAAACTACAGAGTATGAAATAATAAGAAGCCCGGGGGTTCACACAGTTTAACCACCGCTATTAAATCGTTCACACTTCAATGAACCCATCCAAACTGACGTTCAATTCTTTAGTAAATGCATATATATACATATATATAATTTATAAAGTGGAAAGACAGTATAATGACCATTCCCGCATTCATCAATGTATTTGCTTACATTTATACAACGTACATTTGGATCTAGAATTTGTTTTCTGTGCAGAGTGATTCGGTCTTCTAGGTGCATTCCAGTTTCTCCAATACAATGCTCACCACATCTCGCACATGTTAAAACATATATGACATCTTTACAGTGACAATTCATGTTGTTTTTAACAGTAAATAGTTTATCGTGGAAAAATTTAAATTTACAGTCTTCAATTATTATTGGGCAAGTTCCACATCGAGGTGTGTTACACTTTGTTACACTGACGGTATTTGTATTTTGTGAGTATTTGGATGTACAGAGAACTTAAACTAGAACTTGGAGATTTTTAGGCTGTCTAGTACTGCCTATAAGTTTACACTTAGATAAACATGTTTTCATAGTTTTACTTTGCTGTAAAATTGGAATATTGGCTTTTATAAAGAGCATAATGTTACAGTTTCTAGGATTGTAGGTACACACAAATGGAAGAATGTCCGTGTCTGTATCTGTTTCTTTTGTTTTCATTAATGCTTCTCGTGGAATTTTCATTGCTTTATTTACAACGTCTTTAACCACTCCACATGGATATCCTTGTAGTTGGTGATATGTCTTAATTCTTCTAATCCTCGGTTTCTTGTGTCCACATCCGAAACAATAGTACACACTCTTCTTGCCATCGAATATGGAATATCAATTTGAGTGTGCCGCGGATGACATGAATTGAATTGTAGGTATTGATGCATGTCCGTCGGCTTGTGGTATATATCTGTTTTCAATTGGACGCCCTGCTCAATAACTTTCACGTCAATAAATGAAATCTCATTGTGGTCACATTCCATAGAGAATGGATCGGATCCAGAATCTTCCGGAAACTCTTTCACTGTTTAGAACCAAATAATAAAACTGTCGTCCAGATATCTTCTCCATGTTTCACAAATATGTTTAGCTGTATTTACATCCACTACATCTGATAGAAATGGAGATTTTACTTTTGTCTCCCATACTGGGTGTAGTACTGTTGACTACTTTATTGTATCATCTGAGGTTTTCGCTAGGGTTATTGATTTGGTGTTTTTTAACAGAACCGAGTCTGACTACTTGTCGATTCTATGTAGTATGGAACATGTCTTCACGTCAGAGTTACAAAGTAAGCAAGCTACAGAGAACACTGTTGGTATTACCCTCACTCCTGTTCCTAAATATAGGCTTCCTATAGACAGAATACCAGCATATCAAGAATATGTTTTTAGCAGAGAAAGCAGTCGAATGTTTGACGATTTTATTTCCGTTTTGCAAACTGACATAAACGCTGCAGTTATGAAATTAGCTGATATACTTATCTAGTGTGGGGAAAAGGCGGTGGCAGTCTGCAGATGGTCTAGAAATAAAACCTGTGAAGAGCAACCGTTATGGTTTGATGCAGAGTGCTGTCAACTTAAATCTAAGAAATACATGCTACTAAATCGTTTCAGATCATTCAAGAGTAACTCAAACTTAAAAGACTATTTATGTGCAAAAACTGAATTCAGAAAGAAGTGTAAAACTAAACAAAATGAGTATAAAATGCATATGAGTCAGAAATTAACCGAGGCTGCAAATATGGGTGATTGTAAAGAGTTCTGGAAGACTATAAAGCACTATTTGAGAAGTAACGCACGACAAGGTGATAAAACCTCTGACACTTGGTTTAGATATTTTAAGGATTTATTAAATCCAGCTTTTAAGAGAGATGTGAATGAATTTGATAAATCAGTTCAGGAATTTGTAGATTCCCATTCATGTCAACATTGTAATGATATGCCTTTTACTGACCAGTTCTTATCAGGTGAAATTACTGAAAATTAAATTAAACAAGCTTTAAATGAGTTAAAAGTGGATACAGCAGCTGGTGAGGATGGTATACCCCCTGAATATCTGAAAAGTATAACAAATTTCATAAACACTTATCTTGAATGATATAATGCTGTTACTATTTGCTGATGATATTGCTTTATTATCATTTTCAGTTAGTGGCCTCCAGAAACAGTTAAATGTTCTCAAGCTATATTGTGAGAAGTAAATTTGAAAAAGACAAATGTTATTGTTTTCAGAAAAGGTGGTATTTTAAATAAATTTGAAAAAGTGACGTGTGGTAATAAGACAGTCAATATTGTTTCATATTATAAATAATTAGGATTGACTGTATTTTCTCGATTATCATGGTCAACAGCATGTAAGCAGTTGGCTCTGCAAGCATCTAAAGCCTTGATTCCTGTCTATAGAGCTTTTAAAGAAAACAAATTTATATCTTTCCGAGTTGTTTCGGACATTTTTGACAGAAAAATAGCACCAATTCTTCTGTATGGTTCAGAAATATGGGGATGTCATTATAATGATTCCATAGAAAAAATTCATGCCATGTACTTTAAACGTTTTTTTAAGTGTTGGTAAATATGCCTCTAACAAAGCCATTCTAGGAGAAACTGGTCGTATCAGTCTTTTTGCTTCATCCCAGCTACGGGCAGTTAAATATTGGATAATGCTACTACGTATGAATTCAAATAGATTACCTCTTCATTGTTATAATATGTTAAAAGCCTTGGATGAAAATGGTAAATATTGTTTATGGGTGTCTGATATCAGGAATATTCTTTGTATGTCTGGTTTTTCTCTTGCATGGATATCTCAAGGTGTTGGAAATGCTAAATTATTTATCTTCATGCTTAAGCAAAGATTACTTGATATATTTTCACAAGATTGGCACTGTCAAATATCATCCTCAAGGTTTTTATGCCATTATACGAATATAAAATCATTACTTGTTCCTGAAAAATATGTATCTGTACTTCAGGATAGAACTTTGAGAAGATCTTTGTTTATATTACGTATATCATTACATAATTTTAATGTTAATAATCTCAGAAAGAAAAATGTACAAGATAAAGAAAGTAGTTTATGCCGTTATTGTAATGAAAGCTATGTTGAGGATGAGTTTCATGTACTTCTCATTTGTATTATCAGTTTCTTAGAAATAGATACCTCCCTATGATTTCAACTATGTACAAAGATGAACAGCTGATGGAAAATTTGTTGAACTCCCGCAATGCTACTACAATATCATCTCTGTCAATATTCCGGAAGAAGATTTTTGAAATTAGACATTAATATCATATGTAAACTTATTATTACCTTCACGTGACTGTACAATGTTGATACAAAACAAACCCCACTTCTGTACTATAGGTCATATGGCCTAAAAAATTGAATAAACTTCTGTCTGTCTGTCTGTTTGAATATGTTTAGCTGTATTTACATCCACCAAATAATCTGCTTTGGAATATAACATTTCTTCTAAGTATCCCATTACCAGAGTGGCGTATGCTACTTTGTTCCCATGGCTGTTCCGTTTATTTGCTGATAAAACTTGTTGTTGAAATAGAACGTGCTGTTCTCCAGTATACATTTCAAAGATTCCATGATGAACGTATGCGTGAAATTTCAGTCAATGGCATCTGGATGTTTATTCAACTAATATTGCACTGCTTCAAGTCCTAGATCATGGGGTATATTAGTATACAAACTTTTCAGATCAAAGGATACATTAAATACATTAAAAGCACTGAACGTGCTATAGAGGGATACAGATGCACATGTAGGTTGCGCCACGAAGCAATGATTGTATTAATATTTGGCATATGAGAGTGGAAAGATCGGGCATGGTTCTTACATATTTGGACAGCCATGTTTGCCGAATAAACAAACACAGATTATCCCGTAATCCGCTGATGCTGATGATAATCCGTGATAAGTTTACATCTTGTTTTCGCTACAAATCCGGGATTATATCAATGAATGGTGTTGATGTGGTCGTGTCGTCATCAACTGTAATTGAGTGGTATAATAATGCTGAGACAATTGGTAATTCGCTTCTCATCAGGAGTTGTTCTTGACATGTTTTGTAGACAAGTGTTGGGACACATTGAAATAGTTACCACGTTTTGTGTCTGGAGGATTTTCTAGTCCCCGCGTGTAATGAAATAATACATGCAGGGTCAACTTTTGAAAATAATTGTCCATCATCGATATTGCTAATAGGAACTGACAATTCAATGTAATCGTAAATTTTCCACTTATTCATAAACACGAAGTCCAGTCGTACATTTTATGTTGTACACACATATCTCAATAATAATTCTGGAAAGTTAGTACTGGTTGTCAACGTTGATATATGCAACAGTCAGTATGTATGTTTCATCGAGTATGGATAAGCGAATCTTTGGCAGATAACATGGGCACGTGATACTTGAGACACGTATTGGATACCACTACTAAAACAACAACAACAAACTACTACTACTACTACTACTACTACTACTACTACTACTACTACTACTACTTGAAAACTTCTCTGTGTAAATAAAAATGAATTAACCGCACTAAGCAGTATTCAAGCTATATGACGGCAGTCTGTAAATAATCAAGTCTAGACCAGACAATCCAGTGATTGACATTATGATCATCGATCTACGCAAAAGGGAAACGATGACATGCATCAATTATGTCAGCGAGCCTGACCATCCGATCCTGTTAGTCGGATTAAGAAAGAGATGGTGTATTGAAAATATGTCCTCAAAGTATATTATGAAAACGATTAAAATTACAGTAGCAAGTTAAATTTAATATACTGATTAGATCCTTGTGATGTTCAAGCTAAAAGAACTACATATCTGAAGGGAAGGGTCACGTGACATATTTTGTGGAGAAGTTCCTTAGAGATTGTTGGATACATTAATTATTTTATTAGTTCCTTAGGTCAATTAACAAGAAACTAATACTTTCTCCAGTTTCAGTTCTTAGTTTTACATTACTATGACATATAATCATAACAATGCATGTCAATAATACCCTCTGATGAGAAGCAGTTTACCAACTGCCTCGTTATTGGTGTTTATACACCACACCAAGAACAATGGAGGTGATGACGCTGCTCCGGGATAATCAGCCTGCCTCTACATAATCCAAAATGTTTAGTCCCCCCATGTAGATGTCGGATTATACCCACCAGGGGAGAGTGAATTAAAGGGTAATCTGTGTTGATTTAATCCAGGAATATGAGTATAAATACACGGTCCCATCTTTGGTGTATCAGACATTCCAACTTTGTACTGGACAGAAGCAGAAACGATGAAAGTTGTGTTGTTTGTGTGTATGTTGACCGTGGTCACTGCTGGAGAGGCGGTCAAAGAGGTAGGTTGTTTTTGGGTTCTTCTTCTACTTTTTCTTTTTATTCTTCTTCTCATTATCGGTATTAGTATTTATCTGGCCATTGAATGTCTGTAGAAAATCAGTACATATAAGAAATGTTATGTAATTTCTAACTATGGACTTATGGTTCTAAAACTGCTTTCTCTCATCATGTTCAAACTTATGGGTGACCAATGGTGTTTGAAATTATCACATCTGTTTTAACCTTGACCGATTATTTAACCGATGTTCACTCATTTCCCTATAGGTAAACAACATCAATTCCGTCATTGAGCAACGTGAGTATAGTCTTTTAAAAATAATGAAATAAATCTTGACAAGCAATAGTGAAGGATCGAATAATACTATTTTAGTTCCTTCTGCTTGGGTGTAACTCACGCAACTGGGATCATGTTACATGCTGAAATAAAGTGATATCAGTTCTAAACATGCCAACTTTCTACTAACTATTATGCTTAGTCCTTCAATGTAGTGACGTAAATTTTTAAATGAATTTTACTAAATATAATTTGAATGCATTAAAGTATAGATATTATATTTTGTTTAGCTGAGCTTTTTAGTAAACTACCTTTCCTTCAGTCCAGGCAATACAATCAGATCTGTTTGGAATGGACCGCGAGACCAACAAGAAATTCTCTGACGATGTCACTGATTTGTCCAAAACGAACAGTAAGTTCACACCGGGTACATTGTTACAAGTCGAGATACACATTTGATGTAACGATGGTTGGAGATAATAATGTTGTCTTGAATTCTAAGATTGAAAGAGATATACAGACATAAGATGAGTAAATATGGTTTTGGATATACCCTGAACGATGGTTTGATACTGCCAGATTGTTTCACATACCCGGTTTAACACAACTAGACAGAAGAAAATATAGGGTGGCGGAGTATGAATGTTTTTTCGATTGCATTCATAATCTATGACAGCCCTATTTCTCTATGCTGATGTTCAAACTTACTTACTTACCTATTAGATTATGTTGCTGGTGCGACACAAACTTCACCAACGACGTGGGGTGACAACCAAGGAACAGTTAAAGGACAAACGCTGGACAGAGAAATCAGAATAATGGACATCATGTTCAGACTCCTGCATGGTAAGAAGTTAAATGTTCAACATTGACGGCATCACTATCCATGATTTGGCGATTTGTTTAACTGACAAATCTGATCATACTGTATTTATTGTCAGTAAATACATTGAATTGGTCGCTACTTTAGTCCAGTTTTCATTATATTGTGAAGCATTATACCATGCTTTAGATACTCACTTTGTTTTGAAACAATATAACTTATATGTGTATACTTCAAAGGATTTATTGCATATGAGACACACCGATTACAAATTCTATTTATTTGAAACAAATATTTTGCTGATACGCGTCTTCAAACATCATTATACACTTTATAACATCAACTAGTTCAGATGTTGGGACCTTTGATAAGAATTCCGAAGTAAAATGACACTGAAATTGTCCCATGATAGTAAACAGTGTGTTGATGCCTTTACTTTGACGTAGGTGATGACGAAGACAAGTATGTTGTTTGTACACTGGCTGACGCCGCCGAGACGTCTCAGATCTCCTTAGACGACATCAGCACATCCAAGTATCAAGACAAACACACCATCAGGTCAGTTTCGTACTAACTCTCATCTATGGACACCTTCGTTTGTAGTTGAGAGTTTAATATAGTTGATATCGACACTAATTACCATCAGATTTGATAACATCATTCATTTTCTCAGACGGCGCTCTATCGACTGCAAACAAGACGCCCGTTACCGGACAATGGACGGAAGTTGCAACAATGCTCGCTGGCCAACATGGGGATCCACCAACCAACCATTCAAGAGATTTATTGATCCTGCATATGATGATGGTAAAGAGCAGGTTTTCTTCTGATATCATATTGATATAAGAACTTAAAAATCATTATTTCATGCTAATAACCATGGTAATTAATTAATAAACCAGACCGTTTGATAGCAAGTCTTGTAATTATTCCATTGACATTTAGTTATGCCCTTTCAATATCACAACTAACTATGCGCAAGGGAATTTTTAAAGCAAAGGTTTGGCTTTCCAGGCAAGTTCGTTCCCCGAATGAGAGGCGTTGATGGTTATCCCCTTCCCAGTCCACGTGCCATCAGTGTGGCCGTACATCCGGGAGTTGACAGTCCTTCTAACGACCACACAGTGATGGTGATGCAGTGGGGGCAGTTTGTGGACCATGATCTCACCGGAACTCCTCTCCATGCAGGTAGGTGCCAAGTGGCCAAAACTCTCTGACTATCAAAGTGACCAGAAGTGTGATGTTGAAATCAGACAAACTGTGATATATTTTTTTTTGTAATCCATATTTTTCGAACCTATTTTCATCATTAAGCTATCCATCTGTGAACTTTACAAATCCTCATATTCCTTCAAGGTGATGTTCACTCCAAATGTTGCGATGGTCACACAACAGGAGAGATGCATTCTGATGTACAAGCTGGGTAAGCAATCAACATTCTATATTTTCCACACTTAATCATTCTGTTTCGGTTAATCGAAATTACTGGTCGTCATATTTAGAATAAAGAACAGACTTTGAAATTACGTGGCATTGTAGACATTATTACAATAAGGATGAAAGAGAAAAAAGCCTTTCCATCACCATAAACCTCTACTGTAAAATCCCGAGTACATCACATACATGTGCTTGTGCATCATAACATATCACAAGCATTATCATAACAATGTTTGATTGGAACAAGGAAACATGTTAATTCTTTTGCTATTTCGCTGTTCCAGCGGCCCTTGTTTCCCGATCACCATGCCAGTAAATGAAGGACATTCCCAAAAGAACTGCATGGAGTTCAAAAGATCAGCCCCAGCACCTGGAAGGAGTGAGTATATGAATACTAAGCTGTGAAGGTTACCTCATCTCAATATTGGGCTGTTCAGTCATTATTTTTCTGTTCTTTTTAACATAACGTATTAAGTAACGAAGCCATAAACAACACTGTATGATAATACCCATGTTTAATTGAAAACCATGTCACTTCCAGATACCCGGGAACAGTTGAACCTACTGACGTCCTTCGTGGACGCCTCTAACGTGTACGGCCTCAGTCAGGATCAGATCAATCACCTCAGGAACGGACGTAAGTCAGGCAATATTTAGCAATGAATTATAATTTGTGATAAAAGAAATATGTTACATTTTGACAGCATACCCCCGAGAGTAATTTTTACATACAAATAAATGTCGTCATTCAACTTTTCAGCCTACTTAAAAATCAAGGGAGATAACCTGTTGCCAGAATCCAACCAAGGCAACTGTCGTACAAGCAATACCAACGAATGGTGTTTTGAAGCCGGTAAATACAACTTATTAATGTATTCAAAGTAATATTTTCAGAGTCTGTTCATAAAGTACTTCACACATGACTATTTGGTACAATTTGAAATGATATGGATAATTCATTTCACAACATTGTCACAACTTCTTTATAACTAACTTTATCATCAGGTGACGACCGTGTGAACGTGTTCCCTGGTCTGGCCGTGCTACACACCGTGTTTGTCCGAGAACACAACCGTCTTGTCAAAGAACTTGCTGATGTCATGCCATCGACCACTCCTGATGATGTCTTGTTTGAGGAGGCCAGAAAGATCGTGTCAGCCATCATCCAACAAGTCACCTACCGCGAATGGTTGCCCATTATTGTTGGGCCCTTGGCCATGAGGAAGTACAGACTGACCCCTGGCTTCAGCTTCAGGTACAACATCACCCAAAACCCCACCATCTACAACGTCTTTGCCACCGCCGCCTTCAGATACGGCCACTCCACCATTCCACGTTTCCTTACCCTCGGAGATCGACATGTACCAATAGAACAGCTCTTCAACAGACCTTCTGAAGTCATCAAAGATTTGGACACCGTGCTGAAGGCTATCCTCAAGGACAGACATCAGGAGGTTAACCGCTTCATCAACAGTGGGATGACTGAGCATTTGTTTGAGACGTCGGGCAATAACGGCTTTGACATCGTGTCCTTAAACATTCAGAGAGGTCGTGACCATGGCCTGCCATCATACAACAACTTCCGCAAGGCATGCCAGCTATCGGAAGTGACTTCATTTGATGACAGTGTATTTGGTAAAGCAGGACCTGCTTTGAAAAGTGTATACAGGTTTGTCTTATCTAATTTACTCTTATATGTGAACAGAATTAGTGTAACAAAATTAAAAAATATAGATAGTTTAACTCTTCTCTGACATTTCTCAAGATCTCCTTACATATGTGTATTCTTGCTTCAGTTCCCCTGATGACATCGACATATTTACCGGTGCAGTAGCTGAACAACACTTGCATGGCGGTGCAGTGGGCCCACTCCTCGCTTGTCTGATTGGTCAACAGTTTCATGATCTGAAATATGGCGACTCATTCTGGTTCGAAACATCTCATCCAAGAAAGGGCTTTACATCAGGTACTGTCAAATTTGTTTGTATTTCTGCGTGCTTGTATGGTTTGTTAACATATTTGTTTTATGTCAAAATATGTACTTATTAGATAACCTAACATACCTTTAAGATGAAAACGCTATACAATTTTGTTTGTGTGACGTTTCATGCTATTCATCAAAATGTTTTGCTGTTTCACTGACAATAGTGTGGAAAGATACTCTCTTGTTCTCCAAAGTGATTGTACATATAAATAATAATGGCATTTTCTATTTCAGGACAACTGTCTGAGATCCGACGAATGCGCTTTGCCAAAATTCTTTGTAGGAATTCAGGAGTGAAGTCCATCCAAAGAGATCCTTTTACAGTGTACTCAAAAGAAAGGTAGGCAATGAAGACATCTAGCTTCATCACTTGTCAGTAATTAATTATTTCACACGGACAGAACTCATATTAATAAGCGACAGGGTATATCTGACGTACTTCATTTAGTGAACATTGATCAGAATTGTAACCTGGATCCATTTACACCTCGTGACACACTTTGAATGTAACATATTCAGGCTCATTCAGTTATATAGGATACGAATGTCAAACCTGATCACATGAAGTATGCTGACGGAAATGTTGCTATCTTAATGGGATGACATAATTTTTGTATTTTACAGCAATCCCATGATACCCTGCAACGATCTTCCAACAATCGATTTAACCAAATGGCGGAGATGAGAAGTTGCTTGGCCTGCCCTTAGGTTCAACAATGAACCCGATTACTTGAAACATAAGATTTTTTGCATGTGAGGTGTTCCAACACGTATATCCCACACTACTGGTCGTGGTTTGTAAGATGCATAAATCACAGAGTACATTACATTTTTAACATTTTTGTTCAGTTGTCTTCATAGTAAATATGTAATGCCAAGAACATTTGGGTATGGCATTTCACTAATAATGCTGGAATTATTAACTAAAATGTCAGTTAAGATTATACCTGATTATAATTCCTACACTTAATGAGAACAAAACAAATTGGTAACTAATTAAGTGTGTGAATCCATCAGTCACACCATCAAAGCGTTTAATCACAGTATACAAGTTGCATTAATATTGGCAGTGTATGTTTATGGCATTGTATAATATATTTGTCAAGGGCATAAACATATTCTACATGTTTGACTTGCACTATTTCATAGATCTATGAAGGAGGTGTATTTTATTCTTTGTCATTGTATGATATTGTATAATATATTGTTGATGTCGTGCTTAAAAATTTGGACCCGTGAAGATTCCGGGGTAGAATAGGTCTTCAGCAACCCATGCTTGCCGTAAATGGAGACTATGCTTGTCGTAAAAGGCGACTAACGGGATCGGGTGGTCAGGCTCGCTGACTTGGTTGATGCATGTCATCGATGTCAATTCCATGGATCGATGCTCATGATATCAATCACTGGATTGTCTGGTCCAGACTCGATTATTTACAGACCGCCGTCATATAGCTGGAATATTGCTGATTGCGGCGTTAAACAACAAACTTAAAAATTTGAAAATTTATATATAAAGTTCAATAGAAACAATATTGAACAATACTTGTATTCTATCATATATCACATTCAATTGTATTTGTTAATTTTACAACCGTTTTGTAATAAACACGTTCTCTTTTGTATTTCTGATTCATGATCTGTTAATTTCTTGGTTTCGCGCATTCATCTACCGTTTGGTTGGCTGATTAGCACATTGATACGTTTCACATTTGTGTTAATGTTTGGTATCATGGCATAGTGTCCAGGTTCTAGATACATATTGTTTCCTACCGAGCAGTGCCTTCTGTATGTGTATTGATCACATTGTCCCATACAGTACTTCCGATACATGTATATAGCTCACATTGTCCCATACAGTACTTCCGATACATGTACATAGCCCACATTGTCCCATACAGTACTTCCGATACAGGTATATAGCTCACATTGTCCCAGACAGTGCTTCCTATACACGTATTACACTTCCCATTTCGCCGTCAGTGCTAACAACACACGCAAATAGTTCACATTATTCAAGACAGTGCTTCCTATAAATGTACATGTATATACTTCCCACTATCGCTTTCTGTGCTTCCTACAAACGCAGATAGTTCACATTGTCGCAGCCAGTGTTTGCTATACGTGTATATACAATGTAGTTTATTCTTTATATGTTTATTCTTCATATTGTCACAGATCATGTTTCCAATACGCGAATATATATATATATATATATATATATATAGATAGATATATATATATGAAACAAACATAAAATATACAAGATACATTAAATACATTGAAAGCACTGAACGTGCTATAGAGGGATTCAGATGCACATGTAGGTTACTCAACGAAGCAATGATTGTATTAATAGTTGACATATGCGGGTGGATAGATCGGGCATGGTTCTTACATATGTGGACAACCATGTTTGCCATATAAAGAAAAACAGATTATCCCGTATTCCGACTTCATGTTTACAATGAGAGCCATACAACAACCAGCTATATCGCGGAGTAAAATAGTTCCTAAAAAAGAGAAGTGGCATGAGCGTATGGATGTACAACTTGCTCTTCAGAAACATCTTACGCAGCACATGTCTTCAAATCATATCCTTATTAGATGAGAAAGTTCTGTAAAGAACTACCTCATTAAGTCAGTCACAATGACAGCGCGTCGTAATACATTTACAACAAGTACAAGACGTCAAAATGGCCGACACGATAAACGTGACGGGAGAGATTTCCGAAGTTGTTAATGAACTTGTGGCGGTTACATGTGTTAGTCATCATTGATCAACTGGCCGATCATTGAAAGGTGAATAAAGATGCGTCAAACAGACACAAAGGTAAATTCATAGATTGCTGGAGACGGTCATTGTCAGCCGAAGAGACGGATCGAGTCGATACTATGATAGTTTAGATGTGCATTTCTTCGTTTATTCATTAGGATAGGCCGTGGCGAGGATATTCGTAAACAATCATGTAGTGACACTCTCTGACATTTCTCAATGTATACTGAAACGCTGAGACCAAGAATAAAGGTTCTAAATGATCATATAGAACACTTATGTATGTTTTCGTGCTGGGGAATTCCCAGGGGTTTCCCCAGGAATGTGGAAGTAGTCCGTCAGTGTTGACGTCATTTCAAGAACACGGTCTCGTGAAAAACGTATGAACGTCAAATTGTGTCGTTCATACACTTATGAACGTCAATTTCGAGGTCATGTGACCGTCCTCTCGTCCAATGGAAAAGCCGTATATCGTGTAAACTTCAAATTAAAAAAAATATTACTGAATAAACGCTGTCATCAAATGATCGATATATGGTCGTCTTTGAGTGAAAATAACTACAATTGATATCATTATTCCACACATATAATCATTCATTATCCCGTTGTCAATGAACACGATGAGCAGTTGTCGTGAGTTGGTGCTCTTCCATTGATCTGATTCGTTCATACGATAAGAATAAAGTTTATTGTTGCGTCACACGACATACCTAAATCAAGTGCAAATTGTAATACATGCATCTATTAAATATGTCAACATAGATCGTGTATTGTCCAGCCAAAACGACCTAAGAGACACATAAATGCAAATAATTTCATACTTTGAAGTTTACACTGTTTCTTTCATGCTGATTGGCTGAATGGGTAGTCACGTGATCAGTTTGGAGTTCACACACCTGTGAACACACGAGGTGAACAATTTTTTGCGAAATTGATCGTGTGAACTTTTGCCGGAACTACTTTCCGGGGTTTCCCCGAATTTTCGATCGGTGTTTACGATCAACTCGTTTTTTCTATTTTCTCTACATTTATCAGCAATGTAATTAATTTAGTATTTTTGCTTGGTCTTGTAACATTTCATCTGACTATCAATGAATAAATGCTTTGGTTCTGGTGTTTGATGTCTAGCTGCTACATGAAACCAAATGGATTGTCCTTATGGTGATTTGGATATGGAATGGCTATCTTTCAATACTAATAATGCAAGAAAAGAAAATTAATTCTGTAAAATTACTGAGGTGAACGAAATTGATTTATTGAGCGATATTGATTTTGATGCCTTGTTTTCGGAAATGACAGGAATCTAGCAACAATGAAAACAATGTAGTACCCTGCTCATATGTAGCCGCTGACACAGAGCAAAGAATGCTTCTGATCAATCCCAAACTAAAACCTGATTCACTATCGCATCGGGGGAAAAAATCTAAGCTTTTGAGAAACCATAAAACACCAACATAAATTTAAAAAAACCCCAAACACTTGCCTGTTTTACCGATTGGTCAACGGAGACGAGAAAATATCCGCAGACGAAATTAGAAATATACTATTCCGGTTTCTGAGTTGGCCGACCTTCTCCGTGCATTCTAGGCCGAGAACCGGCGGCACACGAGGAGTGACGGGCCCAGAAATGAAGCTGGTCATACAGTAGGTCATTCCCAGGTGGCAAGAAACACCAGCTAGGCAAAATATTACAGCACACGCGACAAATCCCAAACTCCAAATATAACACACTCTGACGTTGAAAATGTACACAAAACACATAAGTTTCAGAGCACTCGGTTCAATCCCCACCAGTGCGATTATCCAAACACAAGCAACACATTCATAAATCGGTAATATTCACAATTTGCTAGTGCTATGAGAGGGTTCACGCGTCGGGGTGTTTTCCATAACTGCCCCATAAACGTCATTTTCAACAGCATTAAGTATAAATTTCATCCATATGCTCCCGTTCGACTCGAAATGCTCCTCTTTACAAACTTATGTGATGTCATATATATAAATCCGCGCTTGAAGGTTGATCTCGCCTCGGTGCATCGAGGCAATGATTATATTTTTGTTAACCTTCCTGTAACCTATTGTTAAGATTTGATTTATCCCAAATATTGTTTGTAAATTTGGGGAAACGTATGTGACCGAGAGCCAGGAAATACCGGCAAAATAACATTGTTGCAATGTTCTTCGGCGAAACCAGAGGACTTCAAATTTAAGCAAACATTATTACGATATTATTCGGCGGGACCAGTAAACTACAGAGTATGAAATAATAAGAAGCCCGGGGGTTCACACAGTTTAACCATCGCTATTAAATCGTTCACACTTCAATGAACCCATCCAAACTGACGTTCAATTCTTTAGTAAATGCATATATATACATATATATAATTTATAAAGTGTAAAGACAGTATAATGACCATTCCCGCATTCATCAATGTATTTGCTTACATTTATACAACGTACATTTGGATCTAGAATTTGTTTTCTGTGCAGAGTGATTCGGTCTTCTAGGTGCATTCCAGTTTCTCCAATACAATGCTCACCACATCTCGCACATGTTAAAACATATATGACATCTTTACAGTGACAATTCATGTTGTTTTTAACAGTAAATAGTTTATCGTGGAAAAATTTAAATTTACAGTCTTCAATTATTATTGGGCAAGTTCCACATCGAGGTGTGTTACACTTTGTTACACTGACGGTATTTGTATTTTGTGAGTATTTGGATGTACAGAGAACTTAAACTAGAACTTGGAGATTTTTAGGCTGTCTAGTACTGCCTATAAGTTTACACTTAGATAAACATGTTTTCATAGTTTTACTTTGCTGTAAAATTGGAATATTGGCTTTTATAAAGAGCATAATGTTACAGTTTCTAGGATTGTAGGTACACACAAATGGAAGAATGTCCGTGTCTGTATCTGTTTCTTTTGTTTTCATTAATGCTTCTCGTGGAATTTTCATTGCTTTATTTACAACGTCTTTAACCACTCCACATGGATATCCTTGTAGTTGGTGATATGTCTTAATTCTTCTAATCCTCGGTTTCTTGTG